TGAGCCAAGTGAAACAGGAACTATGCATGAAAAAGCAGAGAATTTTCTTACTGAAATTTAGTTTTTCCACATTGCTTAATAGTCTAGAAAATTAATACCCTTTTGACAGCACTTCCCACTGGCAAAAAAATATATGTAGTTCCAAGCAGCCAAACAACAATGTAGTAATGCTTTAGGTGGGGTTAAACCTCTTAGAAACTGGCAGGTGTCACAGCCACCTTGCCTTCAGTGAAAAAAAAGCAACTGAAATCCCTTATGAAACAAGGGATTTATATCGGTAGGGTCTGCTACACAAAAAACAGGCACATGGCAAGGTTTGAATAGATACCGAATCATGTGTCCCAAGGGATTTTTCTGGATTTTGGGGGCAGGGGATGTTTATTTGTAAAGTATCGGGCCATGAGGACCAGATGGTAGAGCTCTGCATGTGCAAGAAAAACAGCAAGAAACACTACACAAATGGATGCTGAGAAGGAGCTAAAAGACAAGGAGACTGGGAGCTTTGATTTCGGAGGAAGACCCCTCAAGTGATGACCAAAAGAGGCTTAGGATTGAGAGCCTTTCTGGGTTGAAAGATACAGAAATTTTGTACATTTGTTTTATGGATAAATGGAATTAACACTGAGTATATACCTGGCTTCATCATTGGCCCCACAACCTGATATTGTCACCGAATACTTCTTTGTATGTGTAAGCTACCATTCACTTCTCTTTATTATATTTTTCCCTTCCCTATCTGCCCCATTAATTCATACTGTAAATTCTTTAGGACAGAGGTTACTCTTTAGTAAGGGTCTGTGTACATTACAAACAATTGTGGGACTTGTATAACATCTGAAATTCATTGCAAATTCATTCCGCTTACATACTAAGTCCCATTCTTTTAGGGTCTGTCTTTCCAATAAGACTGTAAATTCTTCAGGGCATTGTCTCTTACTCTGTATGTTCAGAGGTGTAGTTCAACGGGAATTCATCACTGACATAACACACATAATTAATGTTACTGGTAATGCTCAAAAATAAATATTTAAGACTGCATCTTGTTATGTACATTCTTAACTAAGTTTATGAGTTATTTCCTTTGACATAAATGGGACTACTTGTTCTTACTGTTAAGTTTATGTTTAGTCTTTGTAAAGGTGGAGTCTGTATTACTAAGAGTCTTAAATGTAAAAAAGTAGTTTTTAAGACATTCTAGAAAGAACAGGTCCCCATTCTTGTCTTGCTTTTATTACCATATAAACTAATAACATGAGTATACAGCAGAGGGCGCTTGCTGTTCCTTCTCTCTGCAGTTGTGGATACAAGGAAGCGTCAGTAGCCTGTCACCTTGCTGGCTAGTTAAAATAAATATATTTTCCATTAGAAATATTATTGCAAGCTATACTTATCTGTCTTAGGGCATGCACTTCAACAGACCTTAAGTGACTGGAAACGTCAAAGGTCTTCAGAGTTCCTCCAAACAGAAGAATGCTTCTGACCAGAATATTTTGTCAAATCTGTTAACCTACTCCTATTTAAAGAAGTATTTTGTGAGCAGAAGAATTTGCAATTATGTTTCTCTTCCCTACCTGACTTGCTGACTTGCACAAAGCTCGTGGGCTTCTAATATTTTTAAATCTCAGGCTCCTTGTCTATTTAAAGCATATTTGACCATCAAGTCAATAGTTATTCACGAGGGACAGACAGAGACACAGCGCAAGGGTGTAATTACTGTTTCCTTAGGAAGTCAGGCCAACAACGTGTCTCGAGTTTCTTACACAGCACCAGAACTGTCCGGGAGGTTGGACCACTTTTCCCTGGCCTTGGTATTTTGAGAAATTGGAGTATCAGCTTATTTCTTCACCCTGTAGCCTCAAAAGCTCATAGCTTCAATTTTAGACCTAAGCTGGTGAGTCTTTAGTGTCCTGAATACTATCCCATACCATCTAAAGTGTTAAAGCGTTTTTTAAAAATCATACGCTTTCAGCAGTCTTCCTAGGCAGTATGGTAATCTTTCACTCTTCTCTGTTATTTTCCTTGGCGCTTGTGAATCAAAAATTGGTAACAAGAATGGCACACAGGCATTTGCCATACCCCATGAAATTCTTGATTTCGGTATCCTCCTTATAAATACGTACATACATAGTGGCTCTTGAGCTGCAAACGTGTAAGCTTTGGATGAAATATAATGTACCAAAATCAATATGCAGGGCAAAACAGAAGTAGGGTAAGGACACTTGCAATTCATAGTGATTAGAGTTCTGGTTATAGAGGGCTGAATCTTCTTCCATTTAAATTGGTGGCAGAATTCCCTGTTAGATTTTAATTTTTCAGAGCCAGCAAAAAACACTTAGCTTTTGTATAGTACTTTAGATATCTAACGCACTGTATCCGCACTAATTAACTAAGATACTGAAATGATATGTTTTGTCAATACTAGGTTGACTGATTACAGGTAGAATATCCATTACTTAAAAATAGTCTGTATAGTGTTTACAGTTGATTTTATAGTCTACTCATTTTATATTGTTTAGTCCTGAATCTAAAACTGTACAAATCTAAAAAGTTTCCGTAACTATAAATATAGAAGGGGAGCGACACAGTTGTGAGAAACGTAGAGATATTTTGTTTTATGGGACTGTTGCATAAAACAACAACAAAAAACCACTTAACAATGAGCCACAAAACACTTATCGCTAGAAACCTTTTACAGCAATTATTGAACCCAAAAAGCCGATGAATTACAGCACTCAGTTGCATGAAGACTAAGAAGCCTATGTGTTGATTACATCATACCACTCCAGTGGTTTTGAGCCAGGTTCAAAGAAATCATTTGAGGGTAAAACGATTCATTTCTGGACCATTCATTCCTGTGCAATATTGGAACGCCCTCAGCCACTGAAGTCTACAGGAGTTGACAACTTTTACTGTCTTGCAGATAAGATATATATGATTCTGGTTCATAAGGTATCTTTTTGACAGCTTGTTTATTCTAGGTGCTCGTGCTTACTTTTTCTTAATAAAATGGTTAGCTTTACATAGGTGTGAATTTGGCTGCATTTTTTTAATTTGTATGACATGACACTCTGCTGGGTAGTTATGTGTCCCTCCTCCTCCCTATCACTGACATATCCTTTTCTTTCCTTCTGTTTGCCCTCTGCATAAAGCAGGATCTTTCTTGAAAGAGATTATTCCAAGCGATGAGGAACGCAACTGTGTTTTGCATTCAGTCTGGAAGGCCATCTAGTGACGCAATCATGCAGGAGGAAAGGTGAAACTCTCTTTGAATGACAATTTCTTTAGCTGAATTAAAGAATTTTGTTACACTCGAGCATGCTCTCAGGGATTTGTTAGTATTCCTAACAAGCGATATCTCAAAAAATTCTAGACTCAAATTTGATTTCTTAAGAAGTGACAGGATTTGTTTGAGACAGGGCACACTGTTAACCCCTGCTAGGGGGAAAAAAAAAAACCCACCATTTTGGAGCAGAACGGTGGCAGTTTTGTGTCCAAGCAATCCCACTATAAACAGAGTCACTCCATCGACGTGGATCAGGGCCAAGCGGATCTCTGTCGATTCCCTACCTTCGCGCCGGTGATTTCGGCGTGTGAAACAACGCCGCACGTAGGTGTTTGCAAGGCCTCACATCTCTGTAATTAAAACCGAAAAGTCTGTTTTATTTTCTTTATTTTTTCTAACCACGGCTCACCTGGAACGAACTGCACCGAGCGGATCAGCAACGCGCCGAGCCGGGGGCTCCTGCTCGAGTGATAAACGCACCAGGCCACAAGTAACGGG